TTTTGGTTTCGGGTTCGTCCTGACATTTTTTTTTAAATTTCGGTTTTGTAATTTTCATTTCGGTGCACCTCTAGTTTAAATGATGTCCCCCCTTTTGCTTCTTTCGTTAAGACTGAACATATTGAGTTCTTGCAGTATCTTCTTCTGATATGTTTCATCCCTCGGAACTTTAGCCATTTTGTTGCTCATTTCTGGACCTGTTCTGTCTTGTCAGTTTCTTTTTTATAAGTGAGGACTCCAGAACAGGACACAGTATTCTACTATTCTAACTATAGATCTATATAGAGGAATAAGGACCTTCCAGCTGGTGACCCCTCTAGTGATAACTAAAGATCTATATAGAGGAATAAGGACCTTCCAGCTGGTGACCCCTCTAGTGATAACTAAAGATCTATATAAAGGAATCAGGACCTCCTTCCTCCTGCTGGTGACCCCTCTAGTGATAACTAATGATCTATATAGAAGAATAAGGACCTTCCAGCTGGTGACCCCTCTAGTGATAATAAAGATCTATATAGAGGAATCAGGACCTCCTTCCTCCTGCTGCTGACCCCTCTAGTGATAATAAAGATCTATATAGAGGGATCAGGACCTCCTTCCCCCTGCTGGGGACCCCTCTAGTGATAATAAAGATCTATATAGAGGGATCAGGACCTCCTTCCTCCTGCTGGGGATCCCTCTAGTGATAGATCTATATAGAGGGATCAGGACCTCCTTCCCCCTGCTGGGGATCCCTCTAGTGATAATAAAGATCTATATAGAGGAATCAGGACCTCCTGCTGGGGATCCCTCTAGTGATAATAAAGATCTATATAGAAGAATCAGGACCTCCTTCCTCCTGCTGGGGATCCCTCTAGTGATAATAAAGATCTATAAAGAGGAATAAGGACCTCCTCCCCCCTTCTGGGGACCCCTCTAGTGATAATAAAGATCTATATAGAGGAATCAGGACCTCCTTCCTCCTGCTGGAGATCCCTCTAGTGATCACTAAAAATCTATATAGAGGAATCAGGACCTCCTTCCTCCTGCTGGAGATCCCTCTAGTGATAACTAAAGATCTATACAATAGCAGTTAACACTAACCTTATCCCTCAATGCTAAACCTATCCTTTAACACTAACTCTTAACTCTAATCCCATCCCTAATTGCTCCCCCAGCCCTTACCTCTAAGTTTGAATGCTAACCCTATCCCTCAATGGTAACCCTATACCTTAGCACTAACTCTTAACAATAACCAATAATTGATAGGGTTACCAATGAAGTATAGGGTTGGAGTTAAGAGTTAGTGTTAAGGTATAGGGTTTACCATTGAACGATAAAGTTAGAGTTAAGGAGTAAGTGTTAAGGCATAGGGTTACCATTGAGGGATAGGGTTAGTGTTAAGAGTAAGTGTTAAGGTATAGGTTACCATTGAGGGATAGGGTTAGTGTTAAGAGTAAGTGTTAAGGTATAGGGTTACCAATGAGGGATAGGGTTAGTGTTAAAAGTTAGGTTTAAGGGATAGAGTAGAGTTAAAGGAGAACTATGGGGTTAAGGTTTTTCCCCATAGTTCTCCTTAGGGTAACGGGAGGACACAAACTAGCGTCCTCCCGTCACCCTAAGCTCAGTATACCGCAAGTTGCTGCTCGCGGTACATTACTGAGATGCCGCAGCTGAAGCGGATCCCGACAATTGTGCCGGGATCCGCCCAGCTGCGTGACTGGCCCGTCCCCTCCCGTTCCGCCAGTCAGCGCAGAGAGCCGTGACAGGATCGAGAGGTGAGCAAACGCCGGTATGTGTTCTCTCACCTCCCGATCTACTGAGCCGACCTGTGACAGTCTCATTGTCACAGGTCGGCTAGAACTATGAGGTGAGTGGAAAGCACCCCCCCTCATAGTTCTCCTTTAAGCGTTAGTGTTAAAGGATACTCTGGAACGTTGCTCACTACTCCCGGGCACCCTCTTATGGTCAGATAAGAGAGCATCATCTAAGAGAGCCAGATGGGAGTTTCCTGTCTCTGAGTGATGATGTCACCCCACTCACTATATATACCACTCAGTCCAGTCTGACCTTGCCCTTGCGTGGTCTTCCTGCTAGTGCATTCCTGCTGTTCTGAATATTCTGATTCTGTGTATGACCCGATCCTGGCTGACGTTCTCCTCTGGTTCCTCCTCCTGGCTTGATGACGCTGATTTCCTGGTTCCTGCTCAATGGCTTGTTCCTGATGACGCTGATCTCTGTGTTCCTGACCTTAGTTTGTTCCGGTTTATGATTCTGCTTGCTCCTATGGACACTGTTTTTAATAAATATTTTAACTAGCACCTTTGTCTGGTTTTCATTGTGCTCTGACATTTATCAAGGCAGTGTTCCCCAACCCCCTGTCCGCGGACCGGTACCGGTCCGCGGATCAAATGGTACCAGGCCGCACAGTCTCAGTGCGGTCCGGTCATGCAATATATGGCAGTGCACGGTCCCGGTGTTCGAACACCGGGGCCCCGCACTGCCGACGGGCTTCACAGTGAGGGGGCGGGTCCTGTGACTCACCTCCCCTCCCGGCCGCGTCCATAGTAACAGGCGGCGGGAGGAGAGGTGAGTCACAGGAGAGGGGGACTCAGAAACACAAAAAAACTGCTGTGTTAATGCTACTGACAGTCTGTATCACATATGCCATTTTAGTTTCTTCCCTTTACGAACTGAGCAGTCGTATCAAAGCCTTAGAATCATTTTTGTATATAACGGTGCCTAGCAGAGTTCATCTGACCGTTAACTGCACGTAAAAGGCGCAGTTTCGGACTAATGGCCGTATTCTGTGAATGTCTTTATTTCTAAGTGCTAGCCTTGGGGGCAATATTTGTGACAGGTCCACTTTAATAAGCACTTTTCACCCCCCAGAAGGTCGTCTCGGTGTTCAGATTCGTTCCGTTACCGAGAATAATCAGTTATGGCTGCAAATAACCATTTTGTTTCCAGATACATTGTAATTATACGACGATGGGATATATTTTAGCACTATAAATGTGGAATTCATTCTTCGGTCCCCCGCGGCTCTGGCTGTGAAATGTTGACAGGCTCAGTAAATACTAATAGGTTGTACGGCGTAAATATGGAGGGAAGTCATTACCGGACCTACCGGACTCGAGTCCTGCCCAAAACTCCAATTGTAGCAAAACGAGAAACAGAACTACGATGGACTCCCGCCGTCAGCAGACACAATCGGCGCATTGTATTGCATGTTTGTGACAATCTGAGGGCAATTACCGCGTCTCGGAACCACGTTTACCGCGGCGACAAAATGTTCCTGTTTTCTTCATTGTCGAGGCCGAAAATCATTATTACTTAAAGGGGAACATCTGACCGTGGAAACAATTGTATTATCGGTAAAAGAAATACCGCCCTATGCAACAAAGCATTGTCGTCCTTA